TTTATTTGCCACCTTTAACCACAGGCACAAGATTTATAGTTATATAACAAAATCTAAAATCAAAAAAGTATACACAGTAAATAATCTATTCAATAGAGCAACTTTATGGTCAGAGAAATTTTAAAAGGGATAAGAAGAACAAATAGAGAAATAGAAGAAAGAGAGATTAGAAACAAGGCTAAGGGACAAAGGAAGATCACCAAACCTTTGGAAAAGTGATAAAGAATACAGTAGGGAAAGAAAAAACAAGGAAAACAACGTAAAAACTAAAAATGTTCACATGAAAAAAAAACAAGGGGTAAAAAAACCTAAAGGTTTCTCTATGATTTGAAGCCTGTGGTTATTTTCTAGGGTCTAGTTTTGTAGTAGTGTCCAATTCAGGTTGTGTCTGCTGTCACTGAGCCCAGGTGTATGCTGAGTGACCCCAGAAAATTTGCAATATGATTAGGGCAGAGTGCTGGATAATCCCAGCAAGCTGCATTAGGTTTAGGGCAGAATGCAGATTCTGATTGTTTCAACTCCGCTGAAGTTCAGGGTCATCCTGGGCTCTGGTTATGGGTTGGGGGCTAGTTATTCAGCCTGTAGCACTCTGGTTATCTCTTGTCTGCCTGACCTTGGCTATCTCCTGTGGTTGTTCCTCACCCAGTCACCGTGGGATTTCAACATTGAGGGCCCTGAAATGAAGGCAGCCTATGGCTGATCTGAGTCCCAGGCTCAGTTGGCCTCTCCCTAAAATGGTATCTGGCCAAGCATCCTCTCCAAAGTACACAGCCGTCACTTCGACTGAAATCACTCACCATCTGTTGTAGTGCATAACATCCACTGCTCTCTTCCACTTAGGTTTCCCTGAACCCCTCTGGAGTTACCTGCCCCCACTGTGTCTGTATATTTGATACTCTTCTCTCACACATAGAGCTGGACGCCAGGGGATAAGAGCAGTCTACCCCTTTGTTTTTCTGTGTTGCAGTATATTTTCTGTGTGGACTCAGATTTTTCCTTCGTATCCTTCCTGTGTCTTGGTATTCACTTCATTTTCTTCCTCAATTTATTATTTTCTAAAGTCTAGATTCTGAATCTGAGAGAGGTTGACACATCGCTGTTTATTGTTCTGTCATCCTCCCACAAGCTCCCCTTCACAAATTTCAACTATAGTGATCCTTTGGTATTCCAGGGCAACTGGGTGCTAGGACTCCTGCAGACAGTAAAATCTTCAGGAGCTCAAGTCCCTTACATAAAATTATGTAGTCATGATTTATAGATTTCAGATAACATTTTTGTATCTAACAAAGGCTGCAATGAAATAGGTGTAATCATGACTTTATAAAAAATTTTTGCACAACAGGGTCTCTGCTGCTTTGGGTGACAAACTCCTGAGCTCTAGTGATCTATTGATCTTGTCTCAAGACTCCCAGGTGGCTGGGACTACAAGTGTGCATTACACATCCAGCTAAAAATTTGGGCTAAGATTCAGCAGTAGGGCTAAATGGTGGAATGACAATTAGTGATCACAGTGAGTCCTCTGTATGCTTAGCAGAAAGACTGAGATAAAGACGAGAGTAGTCAGGAAGTAGCCTGAATCTCTCCAGTGGTGACAGGTCAGCACTAAGGCAGCAACTGTGGGGCAAAATGACTTAGCAGGTAGATGACAATGACGAGTACCTGGGCAACTGCTGGAGGTAACAGTAAAGGCAAAGTTAGGAAAATGGTTTCTGGATATGGAGTTTATAACTGATGAGAAACAGTTTTTGCTGCCAACAGAAAAGGAATCTAGAGTAAGGAGAGGTTGAGCTGGTCACATGTCATGGGACCATGTCATCAGATTTATGCTATGACCTGGAGAGGCACACATGCTGCCTAAGGTAGGACCAGTTCCTAGTCCCCTCATTGCCCTCTCAGCTTCTGAGGTTTTGTGTGCTTCTTCATCATCACCTGCTGGCTTGAAGATGTGTTGGGTAGATTGCTCTCTGCAGGCCACACATATCTCCCTAAAAACAGGAAGCTGTCTCAGGATGCAGGTCACTGGTGCTGGCATAGGGTGTCTGGACAAGGATACAAAAGAGGCCTGCATTTCTGGTATTTTAATGAGGCTTATTTCTAGTGTTTTATAGGTCCTGCAGACTGATGATAAAATCTTTCCATAAATATTTAACTTTGAAACACATACTTTCAAAAAAAAATTAGATTGATCCTTCCTTCACAGGTCTACTGTTGTACTGTTAGGTAATGCATATAGAGAGGTTGGCGTTGTACTTAGCAAATAGTACTCAAGAAGTGCTCTTTTCAGTAAGAGATAAGATTCATAGGAGTTCATGTCTGCTGAGTATTGAGAATAAGGAGAAGAAAGAATGTTTCCTGGATGATCTTGGTTTTTGGTGAGTTTCTGTTCCTCTTTCAAGGCCTAATTCAGATTATCACTTCCTCTTAAGATCTTCATCCCCAGAGCTACCTCAAGCATAATGTATTCCATGATTTGGTAGCTTCTTTCTCACCTCTTATCAGTGATGTTGTAGCAGGCCGAGTCAGCAAACATAGATTTGTAGACTTGACTTTACCACCACTTAGAAGATCCCTTAAGTATATTCGTAGAATGAAGAACATCAGAACCATCACTAACATCAGTGTATAATAAAAGTTTATGTTGACCAGGATTTTAATGCCAGTGTGTGCATTGAAATCTCATTCACGGGAGAATTGTAGGATAAGAAAATCAATAATTCTTGCTGCATCACAGGCTGTGTTTCCTTGGAATAAAAAAGCTTGAGCTGGTCATGGTGATATATACCTGTAATCCCAGTACTTGGGAGGCTGAGGCAGGAGGATTGTTGTGAGTTCAAGACTAATCTGGGCCCAAAAGTGAGCTCAAGGCCAGCCTGAACTGCATAGGAAGACCCTGTCTCAAAAAGGAAAAAAAAAGCTTGAACTTAGATGGTAAACATCTTCCCTCAGTCCTGCTTCTCAGTTCTGCATGCACTGATGAATGGAGAAATGAGGAACTGTTCTGGCATTAAGAAACTGTTCATCTGATGTCAAAATAGTAATCTATGAGTTAAATCTTGGACAGAATGAAGGTATTCTTCAATTACTTGATAATTAATGAAGAGTACATCATGAAAAATGTTGTAAAAATATTTAAATGGGCACAAATCAATCATACAGGGCCTAGCAAGAGAAACAAGCCAATTTGCCCTTCCTATGAGTTGGCAAAAATCATGCTGGACCTGGGAGGAGTATAACAAGAAGCCAGTTCACCCTTACTGTGAGTTGGCAGAAGACATGCTGGGCCTGAGAGGGGAAACAAGAAGCCAACTCACCCTTCCTGTGAGCCAACCGGCATGCAGTCAGAGACAAGAACACTGCCCCCTGCCACTCCAGCAATGGGCTGATTAGGAGGACAGGCTGACTTGACAGCAATTGAGGTACAAAAGCAATTTAATGCTTGTATTATTTGATTGATAGGTTTTGTAGGCCTAAGCCTGCTAGTCTTGAGCATGTATTAAGAGGATAACAGTATATAATATAGTAAATATAGGAGAGTTTCTTCTGTCTTGTTTTTGAAATCCAACATTGTTCTCACTATTTTGTTCTGTTTTATTGTTTTGTTTTATTTAGTGTTCTTTTTTGATTGGTTTTATTTGATTTACTATATCTGATTTACTGTCTAATGGAATAGGCAGCAATTTTGAAGGTAAGAGGCATTATAGTAATCATTGTTGATTTCCTATTGTTGTGTTTTGAAGTCCTGTATCACTTTCACTGTTTTGTTTTAATTGGCTTTATTCTGTCTTGTTAAGTTTTATTCTTTTTGAAATATAAATAAATAAAAACATTTACCATTTTGATCAATCGTTTTAGAATAAACTTTTGTTCTGTTTCTAGAAAAATAAGTAAAACATCGTCATATGAAGAAGTGACTTCAAAAATATGCTGATAAAGCAACATCAAGAGGATGTGTTTTTATTTTATGAAAAAGTAAATTAAAATTTCATAACCAAATTATAATTGAATGTCAGGCAGTTAGTAAAAACATTATTGTCCTAGCTTTTATGGTGTTTGTGGTGTTTATCAAATGCAATGCACCATTGCTGGGTCTCAAACTCTTACGACATGTAAGGACAGACCACCATAGAGGCTGGTCTCTTATTGTCTACTCAGTAACCTCAATGCCTAGCCTTTGTTTTACCAGGTACTAGTATTATTTTTTCCTATAAAACACTCACCATACAGAAATACATTATCTGAGCATCCTACAATCCCATTGATGCCCACTTATGAGTGTATCTTCCTTATAAAAGAAAGTCCAAGCAGACAGTGAGTTGTAATTACTGAGGCAGGAGAATGCCATGCTGTGCTGGAGCCCAGACTAGTAGAAACCAGCTCATCTCACTTTTCAGTAGTTTTAACAGCTTTATGGAGAGACACAATTTTCAAAATTGTGTCCCTATCACAAGCAGTCAGTTTTGAAACAGTTTTCACTATTCCAAAAAGAAATACACTAGCTAGGGGAAGAATTTTAAGGGGGTTAATGGCAGTGTATCTTGTAATAGAGTTTTAAAAATATGAACATTCACTATTTTGATTGCATCTATATGGTCTTCTGTGATTGTCTTCTTTCATTTAGTATAATGTCAGGACTCATCCACCTAGTAGCATCTGTTAGTACTTCCTTTCTCTATTGCCAAATAATAATTCATTGTATAGATATATCACACTTTATCCATTCATCTGTTGATGAATATTGGGTTGTTTCCATGTTTCAACATTATGAAAATACTATTAAGAACACACAGCTTTTTTGTAGACATTTTTTCTCTTGGTTATGTATATAGAAATGTATATATACATTAGGTTATGTTTATATACATACATATAGAAATGTATGTATATATATACACATTAGGTTATGTATATAGAAATATTTAGGTTATTTGATAACTGATTTTCTCAGGACTTACTGAACTGTTTCCCAAAGTTATAGCACCATTTTTCATTTTTTTTTTATTTAAAGAGAGAAGAAAAAGAAGAAGAAAAAAAGAAAGGACATAAAAAAACAATGCACTAAAAGGGTACAAATAATACAGTATTTCTAGAAAAAAATATATACAGTACGAAATCACCAGTTAATAGGTTGCATATTATCTTCCCAGAAACAGTTGTCCATATCACTAAATTAAAGCATATAAAGTGAACATTCATACAGTGAAATTGGAGACAGTTCCGTTCAGTGATCCAACAAAAGCTCAGTAGTATGGTTTTCCATCCTACACTCTCGAACATACCTGCGGTTATATCCCTTAGTCCACCTTACTTTCCTCTCTTTTTTACAGTAACAATTAGACTTTTAGGGTTTTATTACTCTCACAGTTCTTATTACTTTTTTGAAGAGAATAAAACCAAATGTGACTTACGCAAAACAGAGTCAGTTAGAACAGAAGGGTGGGCATAGTACACGATGCAAAAATAGAATAGCAGGTGATCAAAAGTGGTTACCATTGTGCCTCTTAGTATTTTCAAACTGAGTTGTCTATATCATCAGGTATAATAGAATTGATCAAAACAGTACAGAACAAAACCAATAAAATCTATACTGAGGACCTTACAGGACTTCAAAAAAAAAAGGATGATAGTCAATCTATATTGGGCATCATAGTATATCTTATTGCCTTCAAAGTGATTGCCTATATCCTCAAACTTGATACTATCAAACAAAATAGAATATATAATAATCAGACGGAACAAGATGGGGAGAGCAATACTGGGGTTCAAGTCAGGTTAATAGGACAACAAAAAAGTTAATATAATATGTTCCGTTATTTTTTAATTTAGTTTTCCCTTAATTAAAAAAATGAGAGAAAATAGATTAATTTAAAAATAGGGGGAAAATTGAGATAAGAGAGGACATTGTAATAGAACAACGCAGGGCAGAACTGAGCAATTCAAGCATCATTGTGTTTCACCACCAGATAATCTAACATAATAGTAGTTGCCATAGTGCCTCTTTACTTAAATTATTTGAGTGTAACTTTGCATGTATAGCACCATTTTTCATCCTCACCAGCAACACTGAAGCTTCCAATTTCTCCATTTTCTCACCAGCACTCTTTATTGTGCCTTTTCTAGACATAAGAATTCTCTTGGTGAATAATGTGGTATTTCTTTGTGGCTTTGAGTTGCATTTGGAGCATATTTTCTCCACACTTAAGAAAAATGTGTATTCTGCCATTGTTGGATGGACTGTTAAACAATTTTTTTCAGATCCAGTTAGTTTATAGTGTTGTACAAGTCTTCTGTTTTTTTCTTTTTATGATCTTATTCTTAGTTGTTACTTCAGTCATTGAAAATCAGGTATATTTTTTCCTTCAGTTCTGTCATTTTTCACTTATATTTTGGAACTTTAGCTAGGTGCACATGATTATAATTGTTATATCGTCCTGTTGGATTGCCCTTCTGTCGTTGTCACTTATCTTTTTATCTGTAGTAATTTTTTTAAAGTCTATTTTGTCCAATAGTAATCTAGCCTTCCTTGTTTTTATGGCACCTGTTTACGTGATACCCCTTATTTTTTCAGTATGTTGTGTTTGGAATTTCAAGTTGTCTCATGTAGATGGCATATAATTGGATGTGTTAATGCTTAATCCATTTACTATAATGTTATTATTGATGTGGCTGGATTAGGTCTACAATATTAGTTTTTGTTTTCTATATGTCTCATATCTTTGTTCCTACTTACTACTTTCATTTGCAGTACATGAATATTTTCTAATTTAATAATTTTAATTCCTTAAATTATTTTTTTCATTATAGTTTTAAAGTTATTTTCTTAATGGCTGCTTTATGGCTTGCATAGAATCACCTTGAGTTTGTATTAGCTTGTTTAGAGTGAGATTAGAAGCCTTTCTTCATGTAGCAGTAGGCTTCCTTCCCTTGTTTTTGTTATGTCTATTATATGTGTATGTGTTACAAACCCATGAAGTTGCTATCATAATTATTGCTTTATATAATTTTATTCTTTTTAAAGAATCAGAGGCATAAAAGTGAGCAAGGAAGAAAGGGGGCTGTTCTTCCCCAGTGGACAAGATGCCCTTGGCTCACTCCAGTGGAGTCTGTGAGCTCAGCATCTTGTTAGCAGCGTGTTTCCTGGAGGCCAAGGCCCCTGTGCCAAGAGCTTTTGTTTGAAGTATTTGAATGTGGTGTGCACTATGCCACTTACTGGGATGCCTCATGATTTAGGAATCTTCAGTTAGATGTAAGTAAATCTTTGGACTTGTATAGCCATCCACACCTGACTGTCCACACCTGGTCTGCTGGTACCGATTAAAAAAAAAAAAAAAGCATCCAAACTGAGGTGGCACTGAAGTGGCAAATGAGGGGTGGTGGATGTAGAGTGGTGGGAGCTGCCCAGTCCTCCAACTCCTGACACACAGGGTCCTTTGGGAATGAATGCTAACCCACGGATGCAACAGTAAGCTTTGAAATGGAAGTCTATCAAAAACTAAAGTATGACTAATTTGGTTTGGTTCTTCTCTGTATCAGTGGAAGAGGGCTGCTAAGTAATAAACATGAGTTACAGTGAGCGAATATCTGAAATGCTTCATTGACCTACATACTACCTTAGAATGAACCAAGTATTTCTCAGCATCTAGACATTCCATAGAAAGTCAGTGACCAAAATATTCAGTTAAGTGATAAGTCAAATTGGATGTTAACATGAGTCTTAGAGAAAATAATTTTTAAACTTGTGTGTATTTAAAACATATTTTTAAGTGAAATAGAAAATAAACATAACAGATGAAGGCTTTTAAAACATTCATTGTCCTGTGAACAGTGGTCTTCTCACTCTGCTGTGCCCCCGGCACCCTGGTGCTGATATGCCAGGGAGCTAGACTCTAGTTTCTCAGGGGCCTCGGTACCATAAGCAGGGAATGAGATGGCACTGGAACTTCTTTTTCCTTGTGGTAGTAGGGATTGAATCCAAGGCCTGAAATTCACATTGAATGATATCTCCAGTGCCCCTTCTTGCTTTTAATTATGGTCTCACCAAGTTACTGTGTTTAGGCTGGGCTTGAATTTATGTTGCTTCAGCCTCAACCTCCTAGGCTGTGTGCCAGCTACTGTTTCTGCCTAAGACTTCACAAGGACTCTTTGTAAACAATTCTCTTAGGCAATGTTCTGGACCTGGATCCACACTCTGAGGACCTTCTGCCCTTCAGGGAAAGTGCCGACTTTATTTGGGCTATGATCCACAGGCTACCTAGACAGACCCATCCCGAATGAAGGGAGCAAGAGTATGAAAAAGGTTTCTGTATACTAGCCCAGTGTATCCTGAGGAACATCAGTTTCTGATGCCCATGACAGGGCTCAGGGCACTTCCAGAAGACTGCTTTGCCTACTGCTGTGTTGGAAGCTGGCTTACAGTTGTTAGACTAATTGCCAAAGATATTTAACACATCAGAAGGATCATTCCCCCCCAAAATATCTGAAAATGACTTTATCTTATTCTGTTTGTACTTAGGTATCTAAAATAAAATCATCCACATAATAAACCCAATAGTAGCAAGTAAAATAGGTCATTTAACCAGTTTACATTTTCAATCATACCACTCCGAATGTGGGAGTGGTTTATCTGCAGTTACTTTCACTCCTTTGAAGAAAACAGCAAAACACAACAGTGGGCTTGGGCTTACAGAAATATTTGGTTGGATATCTCTTCCAGAAACAATTCAGAGCCTTTTAAAAAAACGCTTTTTTCTACAGAGTATAAATTGAGAGTTTAGAAAACTTAGAAAAAAATAAAGATTCTTTGAGAGATAGTTTATATAACTGACCAACTTCTTAGGAATCATGAAATATTCAAATGGTTCATTATTGGTTCAGTAAAGCTGGAGGATAGGAGAAGGAAGAGATCCACGGAGGAAAAAGTGAAGAGAAATGGTCACCTCACATGAATAAGGAAAGGATGGTGTGCTAAGCCACGTGCCAAGCCAGACTTTAGAGCAAAGCTGGGCTACCCAGCTTTTGTACTCCATGTAGTGATCTGGGTTCTGGGCTGCAGAAGGACTATTAAGCATGCTGCCACCAGGAAACTGAAGTGTTAACAGCAAGCCCACCCACGGTTTCCCTATCAGTGACTCATAGAGGTCTCCAAAGAGGAAATTTTCTCATCTGAAGTGGTATAGACAAATAATCTCATTTAGATTACTTGCCTCAAGGATGAATCAAACCAGCAGACTTTCCTTAGCCCTGGGCTAACAATCCTGGGGTATACCTGGAGTACATGCATGCATGTGTATGTAATATTTAGCTGGGTACTTTCATAGGTAATGTTCATTCCCCAACCTAAGTAATTCTCAGAAAATGGTTGGATGAAGATGTTCAGAGTACTCAGAGGTTTGTTTGCATATTGAAAAAGGAGCAAATTTTTAAGTTCTATGAGATGTTTAATATATCTCACCAATATTTAGAGCCTGCCTGTGAAACTGAATGTAGAGCCAGAGGCAAACTTTTATTCTGAGATCCAGCTGCTAGATTCTAATTCTTGTACGCAAAGCACAGTAATGCAAGAAGTATTGAATATATCACATCACCTATTTTAGCCATCATATGATGCAGAAAAAGAGAAACACTTTTGCATAATTTTTCCTTAATTGGTGGGTTGAAGAGGCATTAGAAATGTAGGCCACATTAGTGCATGCCAAAATAGAAAGTCTTACAGAATATTATCTTGCTGTTTCTCTTCAGATTAGCTGAATTTTCCACTGTGGTTTGACTTCTGTGGTTTTAGAAACAATGTGCATGCTTAGAGTGAAAATTTTCAGATAGTAGTAGCCATATTGTAGAAGCCCACACTCAGCCATACTTGTGGGTTGTCATTGTTACTTGTATAAAGTAAGATCATGGCTAATAAGGTGACTTTCAGGGTATAGCACATTGAGAATAGTTGTTTTGACCAAAAAAAATTTTAGTCATACAAAGAATGAGTGTAATATTTTTGTTACTAAAAAATCTAATACCATGATCAGATCAAAGACATCTGTGTAAAAATCATAGCAGGTGATATGTTCAGTGGACAACAGTAGAAGTATTTTACAAGATGGCATCCTATTTTCCATAGAAAATTAATATGTATGTAATTGAACTCAATAAATGAGCAAGATTCTCATATGTTGAACACACACAAAACTACTTATCTGTTGAAAGAAGAACCTAAATACATGCACCATAGCCTTGGGTAAGGAGATTCAATAATGTGTATGTGTCCAACCTATCCAAATATATTAACTAAATATCTTTTTCAGTCTTCATAAGCTTTTTTAAAAAAAACATACTAATTGAATTCAGGTGATAGAAAATGTGTTGGAAATTATGTCCAGTGGTCAATTAAAATACTTTTTGTTTTGTTTTGGGGTACCAGAGATTGAACTCATGACCTCATGCTTGTCAGGCAGGTGCTTATGCCACTGAGCTAAATCCCTGGCCCTACCTTTTGTATTTTACCACCCTACTTGTTTCTTTAAGCTTTTACCACCATCTAACAGTACTGGATTTTCTTGCCTTTTCCCCTCCTGTATAAGAAATGTCTCCATGTAGATGATAAAGGATATCTACTTTGTTGATCTTGGTATCTGCAATATTGTCTAGTGCTTGGCATAGAGTAGTTATATTTTTGAGAGAAAAACAAAAATAAAGTAGAAAAGCACTGTGCTATGGGATAAGTCCCACTAGGGCCTAAGACATTTCAACACAGCAGATTCCTATTAGCACTGTGAAGGCTAAAATTCCATCTGGCATTGGAGATGCTAAGGTCTGGTAGGTCACACACTAAAACAAAGATCATCATGGCAACAACCCACCCCCAATGTGATGAAGCAGGCCTGTTCTGGATGCCAGTGTCCCCCAGCCCCATACAGGGGTGAGACATTCTGTCCTTCTGTTGTATTAAGCTGTCTCTACATTTTGCTTTCCCTTGGCACAGAGCAGTAGAGGCAAAGACTGACTAACCCAGCTGATCGTGGATGAGGACAATGTCTGGGGAGAAAAGGAAGCAACTAGACTTCACGATTATTGATATTAAGCCCAACAGTCCACTCGAACCCCCTCCTCTGAGGGCTACATTCAACCTAGATGAGAAGACTGATGGTGTTTCCCTTCTGCCAACGGCATCGAGGATGCACCTTAGCCAGTATTAAACCACAGTCTGGGGCGGATAGACAGAGGGGTTTCTGGTGCAGGGAGGGCACCTCAGAAACCCCATAAGCCTTATACTAGGCAGAGAAAATTATGACTGGCTGGAATCCAAGACTGCAGATCTTGGAAAGGAACCACTTATTCAAAAACAGGAAAATTTTTCTTGACTCAGTTTTTAAAACTTTTCTGCGTTTTATTATTTTTATCTTTTCTTCATCATGTTTTTGGGGGGTTGAAATTTCTCCCCTCTTTTAGTTCTTCTCTCTTAGTCTTTTTTGCCCCTTTCAACAATTTTTCAGGTCGGGATATAGCTCAGCAGCACAGCACCTGCCTGACAAGGGCAAGGTGCTGAGTTTGATTCCCAATATGTGTGCGTGTACATACACACACACACACACACACACACACACACACACACACACACACACACAGACTTTTTTCTTCTTTCCTGTATTTGCTCCATTTATGTTTTCTTTTTGTTCTTTTTTTTATAAGTTGTCTCCATTTTTAGAAAGAAGATTTTTTTTTTCTTTTGGTATGGGGGATCGAACTCTTGACCTTGCGCCTGTCATGCAGGCGCTTATGCCACAGAGCTAACTCCCTGACCCATTGTTCATTTTTTCTTGCAACTGTTCTCTAATACTACTAATTTTCTGTTACTCCTCAGTGCCTCCTGTCTCACTTTTCACTCCTTTTCGTACTACTTTACCTTTACTAGTATAATTACTAAGCTTTTTGAATCTCTAAATTGCCAGTAAACTTTACACTATTGCTGTTGAATACTGTTCTATTGTTAATAGAGGTTAACTTAGTCCATTTAGTAGATATTTACTAAAGGTCAATATTTGGTTTGTCTTAGTGTTTATACTGTAATTATAGACCTTTTTTCTATGGTTGAGGATAGGACATTATTGGCCATTTGGGCTTGTTAATATTTAGTTTTTATTCAACATTATAATTGATGCTGATTTTTTTTACTGTAGCCAAGGTTACATAAGTTGTTGCTATTAATTGGTTTTATCAGAATGCCAAAGTCTGGATTGTCATGAGGTCGTTAATAATACTGTGGCCCATTGCTGAAGAACTGGGTACTGAACCACGTACACTGAAATTCTCGTACCAGGTAAATGGAGGTGGTTGGATCCTGGAACGGAGACAAAGGCTGACAGTTACCATGTGAAGTATATACTACTGTGTGTCTCAGTAGCTACATTGCAGGAATACAGGAAACAATCCTTGTGTTCACCCAATTGATAGAAGGTATATGCACATGTGTCAAAGTGTCAACAGGTGAGTTTTACCCACATTATGTGATGTGTTACATTTTTGTATATAATTTGATAAAAGTTCTTTTGATTTTTCCCTTAGAATTAGCCAATTCAGTACAATGTTGCATGAAAATCTGCTTTTACAACTTTGGGAGGAGCTTGAAAGTGAGTTATCAGGTGATTCAGCTACCAGTGATGACTTGGATCATGTAAGCCAAAGAAATTGTGACAACGAGGTGGGGCAATATATGACGGATAGAGAAGTACAGAATGAAGACCTTGATTCAAATGAGGAAGAAAACAGTAATGTAAATAAATATTTCACTAGTCAAAATGCTACAAAACAGTTATATATACCTGAATGATCCAATGCTAGAACTGTTAGTAGGTTCTTTCCCGGGGTGAAATTTATTGGATAGAATGCCAACACTGTAATTCAGTGTTGGAAATTGTAACAGATGATATGATACAAAATGATTTGAACTATACAAATAATATATAGCTGAAACATTCCTTTTTCATCTATAGTAATAAAATACATTTATCATGACACCTCACTATTGGAATGAAAGCCTTCATAATAATACTTTATTGTTCTAATCATCAAAATCTAAAGCCTTTATAGAGCAATGACAGATGTAGCATTGAGATTTTTAAAACAATAGTGACACTCAATTTTATTTCCTTAAAAATAGCTTAATTTTGTGTGTGTGTGCTGGGCATTGAACTCACGTGTTTTCCAGGCAGGCACTGTGCCACTGAGCTATATCCTCCACAAAATAGCTTAAGTTTTGATGACAAAAAGACCTACTAAGAGAGAAAAAATCCAACAGTTTGGTTGCTATTTGCTCATTTTTTGAAAGCTTTGTTTCAAGTTGTCAAAAAAATTGTATACTGTCCAAATACCTGCAATTGACAGACAACTTCCATCATTTCATGGTTGTTAAACTTTTTACAATAAATGCCAAATAAAACCTTCCAAATTTGGTATAAAAATATATGCCCTGGTACATGCAAAGATATTTTACACCTTGAGTATGAAATTTACCCAAGAACTCAGCTACCAGGTCTTTATTTATATAGTAATAAACCATATGACACTATGAACAGACATGTTGAACCTATTTCAAAAATTAACCCAAAGGTCACATTTAACAGTTAGTTCACTAGTTACCCATTGATACTACATTTGATAAAAGAAGACCAATTGACCAGCACAAGAACTATATGTTTTACATATATATATATGTATATATATATATATATATATATTTTTTTTTTTTTTTGGAAGGGTGGATGGGTACTGGAGATTGAATTCACAACATCATGCTTTCCAGGCAGGTATTTGTGTCACTGAGCTATATCCCCAGCATGAGAACTATCTTTAAGGGTGAAACAGAGATTCCTGAAAAAGTGTTCGGAGTTCACAATAGAGAAATGTGCAGTACAACCTTTGGATTTCAGAAAGACATAACACTGACCCCCCCCAAAAGTAGTATTCATAATGCCAATGTTATACCATAATGACAAGATTGACAGGTAAGCCAGATATGGTGGTGCTGTAATTCCAGCACTTGGGAGGCTGAGGTAGGAGGATCCTGTGAATTCAGTCTGTGCTACATAGTATGTTCAAGACTAGCCTTCACTACATAGCAAGACCCTGTCTCAAAACAAACAAACAAACTTGTTTAGAAGATTGATAATGAATCCTAAACACAAATGAAACCAGAAATGTTCATATTTTACAGCAAAATTAAAGACGGAGTAGGTATTATTAAGTTATGCAGAAACTATGATGTACTTAAAACACAAAATGTTGGCCAATGGTTGTGTTTTACTTGATCCTAAACATATCAGCCATAAATAGTTTCATAGTTGACAAGATAAGCACAAAATACCAAGGAGAAATATTCTTTGAGGATTGGGACTGGAATTGATAAATGATCATTACAGCAGAGGAAGAACAATATATATCTGCCCAAGGAAGTCTGCAAAAGAATTCTGCAGCAGACCAGTGAATAGACAGAAATAACACCAGAATCTTCTAAGAAACAGGAAGACCAGCAAGATATCTAGTATTTCCTACCAAAAAAGACAGGAAAACAAAGCACATATGCTATCAGTGTAAGTGACACTTGTATACGGAACATTTTATTTTCAATGTGTGAAAACTGCCTTTGGTGTGATAATTAAAGATTATTTTTGTAGTAGAGTTTCATTTATATTTTAATTTTAACATAGAAATTTATTTCTTTTGTTATTTTTTAGATTTTGTAACCATTACTTGATGTTGAAAATATTGATGTTTATTCTAAACATTACATACATATTTTTTAATTTTTATTTTGAAAAGAATAAAACAAAATGAGAAAAGAAAAAAAGTGGGGTCATTCAAAACAAAGGGATGGACTTGGTACATAATTTAAAACGACAATGCAAAGTGAAAGTGACCTACAATGATTACCATAATGTCTCCTGTTATCTTCAATAGAATTGCCCATATCATCAGGTATAATAAAATTGAACATAGCAGCATGGAATAAAATCAAATAAAAACAAAACATTGGAGACATTATAGGACTTCGAAAGAGGGTAATAGTCAAACCAGAGTGGGTATCATAGTGAATCTTACTGTCCTCGGAGTAGTTGCCTATACTCTCAGACTTGATACTATCAAACATAACAGATTCGAATAAAATCAGTCAAGACAAGACACCAATTGAACAAGACAGATTCAAATAACATCAGTCAAAACAAGGCAGTGAAAGCAACACTGGGTTTCAGATTAATAGGAGATTAAAAATGTTTATCGTAGTATATCCTGCTATCTTTGGAATAGCTGTCCATGCCCTCAAATCTAGTACAAATAGACAAACTGAAACAGAATATAACCAAACTAAACAGAGCAATGAAAGCAATATGGGCTTAAAATCATGGTCTAAGATTACTGACATCCTGTGCCTTGCCTATTTAGACAATTCCTCCCCTTTCATTTATCAAGGGTCCACTGTACTCCCTTCTGAGCTGATCAAGCACTGGGAGTCTTCACATTAGTGTGTGCCATGAGGATGGGACTGGTTAGGTATAACTTCAGAGAAACCTCATCCTTGGCTGTTGGATCGCACACAGGGGCAGGATTGAATCCAAGCAGTTCTCACCAATCTGCTCTGAGCTAGGAGTGGCTGACTGAAGCCACTGCAATTCTGGATCCGGGTTTGCCCTGCCCAACTCCAAAATGTTGCTCAGCCAGTCACCCACTCCCGCGGGAGAACTAAGTTCCTTGCACTCACCACGAGATAGCACAGATCTCTGAGCCAAGTGCTGTTCTCAGTTCCGCTACCCCCCTCCGTGACTGCATCCTCCCACCAAGGCCCTCAGGCTCACCAACCCCCAACTTCATCATGACCACACATCTTAGGATTTCAGTGGTTTTTCGTACACAATGGGACCGGCTCCGGTGACAGTGCACAGTGCGTCTGGCTATAGTTCTGCGTCCACGACTTTGTTTATTTTCTCTCTCTCTCTTTTTCTATCCTCTTTTTCCCTTTTCCTTTTAGTTTTTTCCTGGATTGAGAGAATCCATCCTTTTCTGTCTGGTCTTCTGCAGGATGTTTTATTCCAGCATCTGAGCTGTTTCTCTCAGGGAGGCTATTTTGCTGTTTACTGATCCTCCATCTTCTCAGCACTCCTCAATACATATGTTTTATTTTATTGATGTTTTTCTTCTAGTGCATATTGCATAATATAGTAGGAAGCTTCTGACAGAAGAGGAAGGCAAGAGAGGTAACAAGTATTACCTGCCAGACAGGAAAAGAAAGCTAAATACAGGTGCTCTCAGTGTAAATGAGCCTTGTGCATGGAGCATGCTATTGTCATGTGTGAAGATTTAGGAGTGGTAACTGAAGCAGAAACTTTTGTTTGTATTTTCATTATAGTTCACATAGGAATTTATTGCTGCTGTTATTTTTTAGGTTTTGTAAGCAAGTTGACATTGAAAATGTTGATGTTTATTCTAAATAATCATTACATATTAAAAGCCCAATATTTTATTTTATTGATATTTTACTTGTTAAGTACACATTAATATAATAAAACTCATAAAATTTAAATTAATGATTCATCAATAGAAATAATTTTAAAAAATAAATATTTACTTTATATACCCCATAATGCACCTTTCAAACAATTTTACCACCATACCACTAACTAAAGAGACCTTCATCCTAGAAACAAAAGTTTCCTACAAGCCTCAAGACATAAACATATATATATATATATATATATATAAAACACATGAGAAGATAAGTCAACAAAATCCCTCACAAAAACCTCCCAACTCTCTCAAAGGTGACCCATAGGGTATCAAATGGTTGGAAACCAAAAGCCACACACTTAAAGTATTCAAAACGATACCAGAGGAGGTAAAGCAGATCTATAAGACATTTGGCAAAGTCATAGAAGTTGCAAGTAAACAGCTATTGGACCAAATAAAATGACCAGCAGGCCTACAGAAGACACTAATAGAAAGCTAGCAGAGCTAAGCAAACTGATGTATAACCTGAATGAACAGCATAGGAAAGAATTAGAGTCTGTAAAAAGGCTCAAAACAGAAATTCAAGAAATGAAAACTTGTACTGAAACTATGGGAAGCCAAAATGACTGGTGTGAGGACAGAGTGTCAGAACTAGAAGACTGTTGTCAGTGACTAAATAATGAAAGATTTCTTGAAAACAATAAAGTAACATGAAAAAATGGATTCATGCTAGATGATGCAAAGAAGACTAAGATTGGAATTAGGAGAGCACTAAAAGCATAAAAAATGTACTGAAATAACAAAACATTACAGGTATAGGAAAAGAACTTAATATGCAGATAACTGAAGCATATAGAACCAAAAAAAAAAGCCATGATCAGAAAAGAAACTGTCCATGACATATCCTTGTCAAAATCCTGGAAATCAAACACAAGAACAGAATCTTAGCAGCATAGAAAAGTAATGAATCACTTATAAATAAATACAAACCTCCCGCTACCTGGTGAAGCTCTGCAACCAGTGAGAGTCCAGATGAACCCTTAGCCACTCAGAGCAGGCTGGAAGGAGCATGGGCAATCACTCCACCCACTCAGAGGAGCTCAGCTGGTGGGAGCACTGGTGATGCTTTCCTCCACCCCTAATACCTCAGCGAGTTGGTAGGAGCCTCAGAAACCCCTACCCCCACCTGGAAGACCTTGGTGGGCCAGTGAGACCACCAGCAGCTCAGCACCCTGTGGGAGCTTCGATGACCCCTCACCCCACCTGGAAGTTCTCTGAAGGCTTGAGAGCACATGGGCGATCCCTCCTCCCAAACAGAGACCTTGGTGGGCTACAGGAGCCTCACAACCCCTTCCTCTACCCAAAGGAGCTCAGCAGAAAGGCAGAAGTGTCCCAACCCTGAGTACTATGGCAGGCCAATGAGAGCACAGGTGATGCCTCCTTCGATATAAAGGACCATGGGCAGGTATATGAGAGTGCCAGTGAGGCCTTCCCCCACCTGGAGGAACCCAGGTGGGCCTGCAGACCCCCAGTGACACAATAGGGCCCCAGGTGGTATGCACACCATAGAAAAGACTGGCAGCCTGGAAAAGTCTAAAACCGTAGTAACAACACAAGCTAAGTGTTAGTTCATATCAATACTCCTAGGCTACTCAGCCCAGGAAGAATCCAGGACATATGTCCAACTGCCTTTGAAGAAGGAATTCTTCAGGTGACTGGATCCTGTCCTACACTGTGGGACCCAACAACTGGGTGAATGATAGTCACAAAGTAGGTCCCAAAGACACACACAAAGGATGAGACTAGCAAGATTGAAAGGCCTGAAATATAAACCAATAGGTGAAAATGACAAAACGGAAAATGAAACACAATCTTGGACCCTTAGCCCATCTGGAACAAGTACAGGAGACGTTGAAATAGAAGAGACTAGTAGAAACATGACTGAAATTTCTGAAAATATAGCAA